CTACTAATTTAACATGTATTTGCAGTTCAAAAATGCAGTTAATATTTAGTGTGTTTTTGTTTTCAATTTAACAGTCTTTGTTAATAATGCTATCAAAGGGAAAATGAGGAGACAATAAGTGTATTCTTCAACTTGTCATTATAACCATATTTTAAGCACTTTCAAAAGTCTTGTGTACAAAACAAAGTCGTAATGGTATCTATTTGAAATTATAATGTAAATAATTAACCATACTAGTTTATCCTGTAAACAGGACAATTATGTAACGAGTAACACCAATGTCAAAAACATATTATTATGAAGCAATCAATTGAACTTCCAAACACAAAATTTTCAGAAAAAAAAGAAGAATAATTTAATGATTTTTTGATATTATTTTGATATTATTTATTTCATCAGTCTTCATTTAATATGAATTTTATGTCAGAAGTAGGTCAGAAGTAGGTCACAGAAGCGGTCAATAAGAACCTATATGTATAGTTACCTGAGGTAGCTCTGAAAATTGATGATATGTCAAGCCGCACAAGCTCACTAGCACACTTTTCTCGTCGTTCTTGCTTCCTTTGTAGAACCACTCCCCTTGACTTTAATCAGGACATCGGCAGCTGAGTTGATGATGTCGATGGTAGCTTAACTCCCCATCAGTGCAGGGGTAGTTTGGTTTCCAGGACCCTTATGTAACACATCATGCCTCGGGTGTTAACCTGTCAACGCGTCTTCGGTGAATATCAGTCAAGTTATAAAATCCTCTGCTTCTCTGCGACATGATCGCACCGAAGGGGAAGAGAGAGGAAACCCTAACATATAAAAAATACATCCCAGCTTATATACCCTTTTGTTTGCGCAGCTAATGTGGTGTGCAATAGAAGATTGGCACGCGACCCACTTGCGCAAACCAGTCTGCACGATTTGATGAGCGACCTGAAAGTTGTGCGACCTATTGAAAGTGTTGTCAATACCTTAACAATGTTCAAAATGGCGCAAAAGTGGTTTAGGTATACAGATTGTGGTGCAATACAACAATACAAATAAATGTACATGTTTAGTCAATGACATTACTATGTTAAACAATTTAGTGCAACATATATACATGCATAAAGTAAATATATTTGTTCTAAATGATTATGTCTTAAAAGATTGATACACTAGCTTTTGAATGACAATTCCTGAAACAGAAAAGTAAATGGTGACAATCCCTTTCCCAGGTTTCAAAAAGCTCAACATTTGAATCAAGTAACATTTATATAGATACAGGAGTAAGGAATTTCATTCATAAAATCTGATATTTTGTCAATAAAATTAGAGATGCTGGAGGGCCCTCTAGTTGCGATTTGGAAAGTTGATTGTGCGCGACCTTTACCGGCTCGTGACCTTTAGCTGCGTGACCTTACCAAATGTCGAATGGGGAATGATCATATCTAAACAACAAAAGAAAAAAAAACAAACATTTTTACTAGGTTAGAAATGTTGCCCGGATAAAGCATCCTAAAAACAGTTCTTCTTGTAGAGGAGTAATTCAATATTGTAGCTATACTGTTAATTTTATTTAGAAATATGAAATAGTAAAACTTTAAAAGTACGATGCATATTTTAAAGTTAAAATTTCTTTAATATATTTTTCATCGCAATCATGACTGTATTCCGCAGTTTAAAGATATGGTGGAAATGACTCATTTGATAGCATAAATATTAAGTAAAATCTGTACTGATTTACCTTGAACCACTTACAAAACACTCAATCGTAATTTAACAATCATAAAAGAGGGGTAATTATGGTGGATAATTATCTGTTGACAAATATAGTTTCATCTATTCAAACGAACTTGATATATTGTCCTTGCCACAGGAAACACTTCCAGGGCTAACTTACATTAAACAATTAAACAATAATTACATTCATTCTTTTGATTGTTATTTAATTTCCAGTATCAAGATGTTTCTCAGTATTTCTCTTTATCTTCTGTAACATGTCGTGGCTGATATATATAAATAGGAATAAACACTTAAATGTAAATAGAATAAGGAAGATCACACATCACGTGGATATCATTGTTAAATGTAACGAATACTCCAAATAAGTGTATATAATTAAGTGCGTAAAAAGCTTGAAGTTGTTGAAATCACGTCCTACTTTAAATATAATGAAGGGGAAAATATAAACCGAAATATTTCTGTCTTGTAAAATATGCCAGTTTTGGTAACAAGTAGCTCTGAGTATATGACATCTTAAGTTATTGAACAAAGCTCCATGGAAATGGATGATAATCATTTAAATATTGAGTAAAAATTGAGTGATTCTAACTAAATGTGCTAATTTCAGTAAAAGTATAATTGCAGCTACGTTTTGAATGACCCAGTCAAATAATATATTGAGGGAAGGAAATTATAAAATGTAATGTCATGTTTTCCTTGCAATTACATAACAAAACATTAAAGTTAAACGTTAAAGTAGCATGGCTCAATATCCTTGCTTATTTTAATAACAATTTGGAAAATGTATTTAAAATAATTATATTGTGCAGAGAACAAAAGAAGTAATTTACACATTGAATACGGCACTTATAGTCCACTTGAAAAACCAAAGATAAGTTAAAGTATGCAAGTAATTACGCAGTAGAAACAAAATGTTTTTTATTTTGTCAATATGTTAAGGATATACTTTGTCAAATCATTGTAACAGTTTATGCTAAGTGAAAGTCTGGGTTTTTATTTCGTGAGATAAAATCCATATCACTTATGGTGTCGTAAACAAAGCTTTGCTGAACGTTTTGTCGTATAGGTATTAATTTATGATTCCGGAAATGTCCTTGAAATTTTATTGCCCCAAACACATGTTTTCGTTTGAGAAATGTTGCTAAAAAAAGTGAGCACTTTTTCGGCGCCGCCCCCAATCCAAAAGATACATCAGGGGGTTGCCAGAAGGGGGATGTGCCCCCTTGTGTTTGGGGGTTTTCATCGCCAAGAAAATTTTTGACTTATGAGAGGCTAAAAATGACCACAGGTCGATCAAAATGTTACATGTAACCAACGCTGAAAAGCCTTTGACTCTATCTCAATCCCTTGAGAAGTTGCAGCACTTTGAAATAAATTTTGATGGAAAAAATCAAGGCAAAATAGTGATTTTTGGCAAATTTGAGATGTCCCCTCGTTGCCATGGTAACAGGAAATTTAAGACTGAGCATGTCGTTACAAAGGCAATGGTCCAGTCAACATTTGTGCCAAGTTTGAATAGTATTGAAGCATTTTTCATTATTTCATAGTAGTTTGAACTTGTAACAGGAGGCTTTTCAATGAAAACGGCCATTTTTCACAATATGCTCATGAGGGAAAGGGTTAAAGGTATATTGGTTGATCTTGTAAAATATCAAATACTTTTACCGTCTTGTTTTGATTTCATTACACTTTGAAAATATCACGTACCATATTTGTTATTATACATTGTATGAATCATTATTTCGCCAATAGATATATAATTGAAATCAAAATTTTTTTCCATAAGGGATCTTAGAGATACATAAATAATGTTTAAATTAAGAAAAAAAATAAAGTTGCCCCTTCTTCGGTTTGAACCCACGCTCCTCAGTTTCAAAGCAGTTGACAGTGATTCTAGCCTATTTGAATACTCTTCAAAGCAGATATATTGCATTAGGGTTATACTACCTTTGGTTTATGAATTCTTTGTTATCTAAATCTAGTGCAATTGTATGTAAGCAACTGTAACCATATATAAGTTTAATTTCCCATTGCGTCAAAACTATGTTATCTAAATTTTATTTGAATAGTTTATCGTCGAATTATTGACTCTTTAAAATAAAAACAAACTGTTAATTTGCGGATTATGAGAGAAAATCGTTTCTTAGTGCTTCTCTGAAAGTAATGTAACTAAATCCTAACATACTTTAAATATATTTGTTTTAAGATTTAAGACTTGAACCATTAATTAATTTTTTGGTACAATGGACTCAGCTCTGAAACAAATAAAATCTTATAGTTGTAAATGAATTAAATATTCTGCGCAATATTTTGATCAATATAACGTTTATATTATCAACAACGTTTTCTCTAAATTAGACATTACCTTTTCTGACAGTTTATTTAGACGTTTACAAGCTTCATTTGATTTTGTAATGTAGAGAAAGAACGATAATAAGATATATTAGGTTATGATATCGTTTGTATTGCACCACTTTCAGATTAGGAAATTAAATTGTGAACATTAAAATAAAACATAGTTGTCACTTAAAAGGCTATTTAAAAAGTTGATTTAGTTTAACTCCTAGATTAAACGTAGTTTAAATGTGTTTCTACTACTCAATCTTCTCTATTTCCCTGAAGAGCCACCGTAATGACGGCCGGTTGGCATGCTCTCATCAGCTCAGTGTCACGCTTAAGGCCGCACGATTTTACTTGAATGTATGAATTTAGCTGCCAATGTGATTTTTATGCCGAGGGCTCTACAAAGTAACCAGGGACGACGAGGAAAGTCTGCCAGTGTGCGTGAGCCCTAACACAGAGTGACAGTTTGAATGCAGGCCCTTAACCGGCATAATATCCCTTTTCAGACCTACCTCCTCTTTTCATATTGTCTCAGGTTAGTCCAAATTCACATTTATTGACAATGTTTCGTATAAATGAGGTGGAAGTACATTAGCTCTACCTTGTACTTCAAAGTGTACCATTTATAGATATGATCGGTGATATATCCGGGATCCGTACTCGACAGCTAAATCTGCATTTTACCCCCTTACGGGCGGATGAACCCTCATGAAGCATAGCATACATAGTCACATACATACATTCTACTCAATTTTACGCATAACTGACATGAAAATTGTCCCATCACAATCAACCCTGTGACATCTTTAAAAACGTTTGTATAAACATTAACAGTTTTACATTAATACTATACACTACAAACAGAGAGCCACTCCAAATCGATGTAAATGTTATCATATTATTTATACTTAAAAGTTAACATATAGCTATCGTCGTTTTACAAAGTCCGGTTAACAGGAAGAACAATAAATGTGGGACATTCATTAACATTTGCATGTATACTTATATACACGATCATCTAAAGAAGGATTTATTAGTTATGTCAAGTGTGGTTAAAAATGTCATATGGAGATAAATCAATGCTGTCCCCTCAACTAATAGCTTTTATATATGTCTTAGCACTCTCAGGTAAGACCTTTTAGATTCATTTTATTAAATAAATATACATGACACATAAGAAAACATACACATAATGTACAAAATATTCGCAGCTACTTAGTATGAATATCAATATGATCATGCATGCCTTATGACATGCGCTGTACCTATAATGTTATAATGTCCATTTATATTAAGTTAACTTCATATAAAAGAAAGTGGCCAACTAATACTTGGATTCATACTTTTTGAAATATTGATAAAAGAGTATGTTGGTTATAAGGTTTCTTAAATACTAAACAATATTCTTTACAATTAAAATAATATTAAATTTATTTCAGCTGTTGTGATTGCAGAAGTGGTATTATCACCATCATCACCTGTTGCGCTAGAGAATAGTTCCCTTACATTAACATGTACATTCACTGGTGATGAAACCGTAACAAGTTTTATATGGAAGAGGGTGAAGACAAATGAAAGTAGCTTTGCTATCCTTGGTATAATAATTGCAGAATGTAAATCTTTTATAATACCGGTAGACACCAGTTTATATGAGTACAGTTGTCCTAGTAGTAAACAATATACATGGACAATTAGGAAAGTAACTAAACAAAATGAGGGAGACAAATACCAATGTGTTGTTGAAATACTATTTCCAAAAGTGATTAACAGCAACTCAGTGGTCATATATATACAAGGTATGGCTATTCCGTAAACTTTAGGCTATATTTCAACGATGCACTTCAGTTTTAGTTTATTGGAGCCTTTTTTCCGAGGATTTATTAAATGCATGCATTTATGCGGCTCACCTCTCTCAGTTCATTCACTTTGATTACTCAATGCGTTTTATAAATATGTCTCGTAATACTAACTAAGCCAACTCTATTTACATTTTAGTTGAATACATGCAATTCATATTTCTTGATAAATTGTTAAAGTATTGATTTAAAGGAATATGATAGAAAATCATGGTATGATGACCTCAACAAATAAAATAGACAAAACAATAATGCAGCTACACATCATCATTTAGTGAAATAAAATTATTTTTTTCCGACTTCCTCTAATGTTAAATCGTTCTTAAAGGTTACACAAATTACAAAGTTTTTGATATAAAACATTCGAACTGTAACTTAAATATCTTGACATATTTCTATTTGGTTGTTTCTATTTCATAATCTATGTATTTTCTTGCACGCAAGGTATAAATCATGTATCGTTTGTGACAAACACAATAAAACAAGTTTGTTAAATATTTATATATTTTTTCTAATTTATATTTTCATACACAATGTATATTATTATTTGAATAAAATATGTATATCGATTTTATCATTATTGCTAATCTAATTTCATGGTGCTATGAAAGCAAGTTGATATTCGACAATTATGCAAATGGTTTTGCGAACATATTTTGGAAACTTGATTTATTATTATTATTACAAAATATAATAACAGAACACATCAATCGACATTTTAACTGATATAATAGTATCGAATTTATCCCGAGTATTATATATAACGTATATTCTTCTTTTTTAGTGATGTAAGGTAATATAATATAATTTTGAGTCGGTGCGGTAATTATATAAACCTTACTTAAACTTATTTAAGATGGATCGTTCTCTGTAGCGCATCATCGAGGTATTTGATTAGAATTGTGTCCTTATGTTGTAGAATAAGAAGGACGACATTAGCATTTAAACATAAATCATAATCAAATAAATATAGTACCCGAATGCCTTATCACATATTGCTTGTTTGTCAAAGAGTCTGAAATAATGCACGGATGTGAACCCGATATCTTCCACCACCAGTAAAGCTGGAACGTCGCCATGTGACCTATGTGTCGGTGTGACGTTAACACAAACAAATTCAAAGAAAGCTACTCGAAGAATACGGTGGGCAAAAAACAACATATAATAAAAATCGAAGTAATTTAAATCAAATGATTGATTTGATGATTGATTTTTAATTTTCGTCATTGTGTTAAAAGGTAACAAAATTAAAAACAAGATCCACAAGGAAGGGGCGGCGTTCAATGAACGCAACCCCTTAGTATAGAAAGAAAAAAAATCAGAAAAAATCAACGAGGAGAACAAAATGTTGAGAACTGTTCAGTCACATGCCTTCATAATTGAACATAACTACAGGTACAAATAATGTAAAATCACATAATTATAAAGAGACATAAAGTAAGAATAAAATCATTTGTGTAAACGATAGGGTAGGTGATCAAACAAAGAATAAATATATCTATCAATGCTTGGGCAGTAAGTTATAAAATTATTATTCTGTGAAAGTAATGGGAATTAACAGAAAATCTAAACCTACTTAATCCAACCTTTGATGTGAATACTTTGTTTAACAAGGGTTTATAGCTGAATCCTAATATCAAGCTTATTTTGTCTTTATTTTCTTATTTCAGTTCAGGTAACTAATGTAACACTAAAGGACGGCAGCACTTTACTAGCAGGTACACTAGAAGTAACAAATGGTGTACGTAAAACATTGACATGTACAGCAAGTGAAAGTAGACCAACAGCTACTATCATCTGGTATATTGGAGATGATGTAAAGAAAAAGGAGAATGTTACTCTGTCTACATTAACATTTGCTCCGCTTAATTCCTACCATAACAAACAAGTTTATTGTAAAGCTTCACAGACAGCACACCCAGAAGTGTTTTCTAATAGAATCACTCTTTATGTGAAAGGTTACATTTTTAATTTTTTCTTTGCCATTTTATCAGCTTACAGATTTTTTATTTAGAAAAAAACTTGACAGCGAAGAAATATCTTCACTAAATTATATAGGTTGATTTAAATGTTGATTCACCTTTCAGTATATTTGTATCATCGTAC